TATGAAACAATTTCATAAGATTAAACAATTAAATCGACATATGAGGGTGGTTTGCATGGTTTGTACAAATATGGATGGTTTGCATTTGATCGCTTCTCTCTCTCTCTCTCTCTCTCTCTCTCTCTCTCTCTCTCTCTTTTTATATATATATAGGCGAAGGGTCGTTTGAGAAAAAAAAAATTAAGGTGAGAAGCGTAATAAGATATCTGAATCCTTGATCATTTTTAATCTAATGTAACTCATGAATTGCGCTTTAAAAAAGAATTGATCCATCTCGGTGCACCTCATTAATTAGTGTTGACATTCAATTAGTATTGATCCAATGGTAGAGATATCTTCTTATGCTTCTTACTATAACTTTTTTTTCACCAGAACCCAACCTTATATATATATATATATAGGGTTGGGCTCACGTGAGACCAGCCTGTTTTCGTGAGACTCGTGAGACCTCATTTTTACACGTAAACTTCACAGCAAAAACACTATGAAGGTTTAAAAAAAGTCGAATCTTCACAGCAAAAACACTGTGAAGGTTTTAAAAAGTCACCTTCATAGCATTTTGCTGTGAAATTTTAAGTGTAAAATGTTGGTCTCACGAAAACAGGCTGGTCTCACATGATCCCAAGTCTATATATATATATATATATATATATATATATATATATGTATAATATGTGTCAAATATATAAAAATATTATAATTCAACACCAACCAGTTGAATATTATCACTGTTATTATGATGATAGTAAATTTTGAATGCTAAATTTGACACCAATGCTATCTTTAACACTCCCGATTGAAAATTGTCAAAATAACTAAACAAATCTACAAACACTTCATAAACAACTATTTTTAATCACTATTACGTGGACCATATTTATCCAACTAATACTTACATAATTTGTGTTAGTAAACGATTCCTTAGGGTTTGTGTTTGATTATGATACTTGAAGTTGTAATACTTGTTTTTCATAACATTAAGCATTTGATAAATTATGACTATTTGATCAACTAATAAATTTATAAATAAAAATGAAAGTAGATGAACAGACCAAATTTTTTATAAGAATGTACATAAATAAAGGAGAAAGGTTAATGGACGAAACTACCCCTCACTAACAACATCCTAATTGACAATGTTAGTAGGAGGAGGGATCGTATCCATTATAAAAATGAAACCATAGGGATGCGATTGGTTAAAAATTATTTTCAAAAACCTTACTCGTTAATATATGTAAACCACAGGGACCAAATTTGTATTTAACTCTGAAATTTAACTTTGAGTTTCATGGTCACAATAGTCAATGGTGAAATACAAAAACTCAAAACTATAAATCATTATAATTGGATCCGATTTCTCAGTATTTTTTAACTATTTTTACCAACGTTAATTTTTTTTTTCCGTTAATCCACCTCTACTCAAACATATGAAAAATACAGCAACACATATTCACTTCTAAATTCTAATATCACCCACACGAAAAAAAAAACAAGCCATCGTTTTATGTGGACGTCATTGTAATAAATTTTATAACATTGGGTGTTTTTTGCAAGTATATTAAAACTATAAGGGCCTAAGTGATATTATTCCAGAAATAGAAAAGACGAAAACGTGGACGTGTACAACCCATGACCTACCGGGGTGGACGCTGTCGTCTTTTACGCTTTTTCCCATAATGGACCCTCCCGAGTTGTGGGTGGGTCCGACCCATGCTTCATACAAAATGCCTCCAATAACATGTTGCCACGTGTACAATCTTCCCACCTTCAGCATTGTGTGGGATCGCGTTTTGATAAGGTTATCTTCCTCCAATTGGGCACACCCCTCCACGTGTCAATACACTTTCGAATAAAAGTTTATTCTTTTCACAGTCAACCATTTTGATAGAACCAACCCGAAACAAGGTTAAACTAAATTAACTCAATCGAGAAGAACTAAAACGACAACAGTAGTTACATCGACTAAAAGAACCTAAGAAAATATACATCATAGATATAATGAAATTTTTTCTATATTTTATTTAATTTAACTATTTTTTTCCTTAATTAATATAATAAAATTATATGAAATTAACTATAAGGGTGGTACCTGATTGGTTTGAGCTTGACTCTAAATATCAAAAGTTTTAAAAAGTCCCAGATTCAAATACAAGGATGATTAAAAATCTTCTTGTGGCCACGGAAATTCAAATGCGTTGACTCCGGGTTATCTACAAAGTAGATAGTCGCCCTCAAATTAGTCAACTCACATAGCGGGTTTGATATCCATGTTAAAATATATATATATATATATATATATATATATATGAAATTTCAATATTTATCAACTTTGACTTATTGACAATGTAGATTTCAAGTTAGGTATCTTCGTTAATAGTTTAATAAGACTTTAAATTTATTTGGTTAGCTATACATGATATTTTTGGTGGTGTCTTAGGGGTTGTTTGTTTACATCTTAATAGTTCAATTAAGAGACAGCTTGTGAATTTTTAAGAGGTAAATCTTGTTTGGTAAAAAAAGAGGTCTGCCTCTTAATGGTTCTAAAACCATCTGAATAATTTTGTATCATGTGTCTCCCTTAACCATTCAGAGCCCTAATTTCGTTGTAAATAACTACTAAACAATTATATTTCATTTTGCACTATATCATGAGAGTCTCTTAATCATTCTCATCACTTAATCATTCTGCACCAAACCATTCAGTAACTATCAAAATGGTTTATTCAGAAAACTTTTAGAGAAAAACTTTGTATAAAGACCCAAGTTTTTTTCTTCAAAACCTGGTCATTCCAATTTAAAAACACATTCTTTCCATCTCTAAATAAACACTTCCAAACAAAAATATTCTTAATTTATATTTTCAAATTAATTTACACATATAACTTTATCCGCACAGAACATAATGGAACCAATCTAACAAGAAGTTATATTAGTTGGAAAAAAAAGATTATCAATAAAATTTATATTGATTGACAACCTAATATCTAATATAATCAATATTGCATGATCAAAAGATTATCTTTTAAAATGAGTAAAAATAAAATATGTTAGAATTTTTATAACATTAATTGATAATTTATTTTTTATATTAAATAAAAATCAAGATAAACTTTATTACATTGAGATTTATTTTTATTAAAAAAAATTAAAATTCAAACGGATTTTTTGGGTCCGAACCCATCTGAGTTCGGTCCAAACTTCAAACTAACCGAATACATCAAAAAGGTGAATCCGTTTCCAGGCTGAGCCATGTGTGCAGCCAGTTTAGGTCAAGAAAGTAGCCAAATTCCCATTTTCCTATGAAATTAAAGCTCTGGTGGGTCCCCTTTTTTTTCCACTTATGGACGGTGGCTCGTGATCTATATAATTTGATAAAGAAAATATTATCGGCACTTTTAATTAGTCCATGTGTAACATGTCTTCAAGTACATCAATATGAAAAAGCTTTATGAGTTCATTTAGCGTCTAGTTAGAGGGGTTCCTGGACTTGAATCTGAGACTTGTCTTATATTTAGGTAAAGTTGCACCGTTCCTTTACCAAGTTTTTTTTTTGGCTCCTTATACCTTCAATCGATCTCAAACACACAACACAACTTATTTAATGAGTTCGTAACACCAATATATGACTCCGATAGTTTATGAGCTCGATTTAATTTTTATGTGGAATCAAAATACCACGTTTGAGCCTATAAAGAAGTTAATTTATCGAGTTCGAATATGTAAACGAGCTTATAAAACTTGATTGTTATGGCATAATATGTAACTCAAAATTGTTGAAGGAAAATCAAACTCGAGCTCGAACATTGAAAACATATTCGGGTTTAATCTTGAGGTTGATGATCAAATAGATTCGATTTGTGAAACACCCAACATCAAATGTTAGTTGCATTGTTCATATAGATAACCTAATTAAAGTAAAGAGTTTTTAAAATGGATTTGTCATCAGTAAATCTAGATCTTTTTAATTGTCGTTGAAAAAAATATATAATACCCATAAAAAGTGGTTCATATAAAGACTGTTATTATAAATATTTTATTTAGATTCTTAATTTTATGAGTTAAAAATAATAAAAAAAAATACAAGATATATTTTTATAAAAATCTCTAGATAAACTCATATTTTCTCTCAAATTCACACTAACCAATTTATTAATTTAACGGGAAAAAGTTTAAAAAAACCTAATAAACTCTTTCATTTTGAATGATCTGAACTATTTTTTTTAATGAAAAAACCATTAAAGTTTTTCATTTTGAATGATAAAGTCTCTGAATTATTTTTTTAATGAAAAACTATTGAACTTTCTTATTTTAATGAAAAAAATCATTAAATTTTCTCATTTTAAATGATCAAGTCCCTGAACATTTTTTCAACAAATTAAACCATTGAAATTTTAGTAATTAGTTACTTATATAATTTTAACCTAAAAAAAACTAATTGTAATCGGTTATCTTTTGATAGATAAAAAGAGAAAGAATCAAAAGATAACCGATTACAAGTTCAGACAATATATTATATTTTTTAATTTTTTATCATCTTATTTATATTAATTAATATATCGTATAATAAAAAATTATTTTAATTACATTTTGTAATATTATAATTGATTAATTTTTTAAAATATTATTTTTGATCATTTTGCATTCTCATCAACTAATTTTATCAAACATGATTTATTAATCTATTAACAACTAACTTATCACATAGTTTATCAAATATAGAATTAATCATTCAAAATAAGATACTTTATTTGGTTTTTCTCAATGAAAAAAACTGTTTAGCTGTAGATTTTTTTAACATAGCGTTCACGTCACTTTCAAACTTCAATTTCATTTTTTTATGGAATATTTTATGGGTACTTTTTGGTTCAATATATCATAAAAAATGAAGAAAAAAAAGAAGAAGCTAATCCAAGTGAAATTTACTGCAAACATGTGGACACAAAACAGGCACCTCTCATGTCTTCCCAAATCAGAAGAATGCTCCATTTTCTCCACCCTATTTTATTCAAACCTCTTCTTCATTCATTCATCAGTACTCAAACCCCTTTCTTCATTCAACAGCAGCCCTTCATTTTCAATCAACAAAACCTCGAAAATTGGTTCACATTTTGAGCAAGTTTCAGAGCTTTTAGTGTAACTCGTAATCTTTCCACTGAATGCAATCGTCTAAAATCCCACAAAAAACCCTTCTTTCTGGGTGATTTTAAGTGTCTGATAGTTCCATTTTCGACATCATGTCTGCTGCTTTAATATGGGTTGTTTCCCCTAATTCTGATGTCTGTAATGGATTGAGTTTTTTGGAAACAACAAGGGTATTAGATTCATCAAGATTGTTTGCAAAAGAAAAGGGGGTTTTGAGGTCTGATAGAAGAAGAATGAAGAATGTCAAGTGTTATTCTTGTTTCCATGAATTGGGGTTTTTGGGTTCGAATAAAAATGGGAGAAGATCGGACGTCGTTTCGAGGAGGGTGGTGGCTAACCCATCTGGTGGATTGGCTGTTTCATCTGAACAATTGGTTTACGATGTCGTTCTGAAGCAAGCAGCTTTGGTTAAAGAACAAATGAGATCTAGGGAAGAAGATATGGAGGTGAAACCAGATATTGTTCTTCCTGGAACACTTGGCTTATTGAATGAAGCTTATGATAGATGTGGTGAAGTTTGTGCTGAATATGCCAAGACCTTTTACTTAGGTTCGTCAGCCCTTGTCTTAATCAAAATATATTCTATTTAATTGGTGTTAACTTCAACCCATCTCTTTTTATGCATAAAAGTGTTCATATTTTTTGTATTGTTATTCACAGGAACATTGTTGATGACACCCGAAAGGCGAAAAGCGATATGGGCAATTTACGGTGAGATTTTTCAACCATTTTTAAGGTTTTTTGGTCTGTAAATATATCATTTTTAAATTTTAAAAATGGTTTGAAAAGTGGTAATGTTGACCATTTGAATTCTTTTCCAGTTATCAAATATGGAATCTTGTTTTAGTTTTTTTAGTTGTTGAAGTTTGGTGTTCAAATACCAACAAGATTCATTTTCTTGTTAATTCCCACTTTCTATTCAAGGAAATATTGATGATTAAGCCATTTTCTATAATTAGTATGCTACAACAAAACAAAGTTGGTTTTTGATCTAATCTAACAAGTGATCCGATTCAGCAGCAGTTTGGATCTATGAATTTTGACTTTTTTAGTTTGACTCGATTAAACAGTATGGTGTAGGAGAACCGATGAACTCGTTGACGGGCCTAATGCATCACATATAACTCCAAAAGCTTTAGATCGATGGGAGTCGAGATTAGAAGATCTTTACAAGGGGCGCCCTTTTGATATGCTCGATGCTGCTTTATCCGATACCGTTTCCAAGTTTCCTGTCGACATTCAGGTTGACTTTTTAAAAATGTTTTCTGAATCTGATCTTGAATGCCGATACCTTCACTACAACAAAATCGGGTTTTTAGGACGCCAAAAATGTTTTATGTGTTGCTTTATACGACCAAACACTTGTGCGTCCTATATAAAAATGTTACAGTAAGTTCATGGAACGCTTTTGGATGTCAAAACAAGTTCTTTAAGAACGTTTTGAAACAAAATGGTCAATTAATATTTTTTATGACATTAGTTGAAAAGTGTTCTGTAAAAAGATATGTTCATAGGGACACCTCTCAAAGTTGTTCTATAAAAAAGCTAATAGGACAGAAACTTGTTTAAGACCCTTGAAAGCAGTCATATAAGCTTATTGTAACACTTTTACATAGAATGCACAATTCTTTTGAACTATAGAGCAGTCTATTATGACACTTACACATTTTTGGCGTCCGATAAACCCGATTTTATTGTAATGATTGCACATTCTAATTGCGTGTGGGATCTTCATTTTGTCGAATTCTTGACGGGTTCTTTTTCTACTTTTGTGGATGTTTTCAGCCTTTTAAGGATATGATCGATGGAATGAGGATGGACCTCAAAAAGTCAAGATACGAGAACTTTGATGAGCTTTATTTGTATTGTTATTACGTAGCAGGCACGGTTGGATTGATGAGTGTTCCGATAATGGGGATTGCCCATGAATCTCAGGCACCAACAGAGAGTGTTTATAATGCCGCTTTAGCTTTAGGGATCGCTAATCAACTCACCAACATCCTCCGAGATGTAGGAGAAGAGTAAGTTTAGCATATACTCTCCTTTGGTCGTGTTCTGCAACCATAAACTAGCTTGTTTTTAGAGCTTCTTGAAAAAGCCCTGTTTGATTAGCCATAAACTAGATTATTGAAAAGCTACTTAAGGAGCGTTTCAATAAACTAGTTTTTTGAAAAGCTACTTCAATTAGCGTTTCAACAAGCTCCAAGAGCTTTATTCCAATCTTGCTCTGTATATTTCCTTTTCAGTTAATTTTTCAACGTCCTTTTAAGTCATTGTCATTCAGCTTATCAACTAGTTTTTTACCAAGCAGTGCTAGTGTACAAGCTAGTAGCTTAGCATAAAGTTTGCTAAACATAGCGTTTGACTTTCAAAGTCAATGAAGCAAATTTACACTTCAAAATCAATACAAATCCCAAAACAAATTCAGATGAATTTGATTTTACATAAAACTTCATATCATTTACAATCTAATAGGAAAAGTTTTCATGTCGATCTTGATACATGAACGTCAATTTGGAAATTTGAAAAGTATGAAGTTTGACTTTGACCTCATGCTTGGTTCTTGAATGCTTCTTTTTCTGGTCCAGTGCAAGAAGAGGAAGAGTTTACCTGCCACAAGATGAATTAGCCCAAGCCGGATTGTCGGATGACGACATATTTGCAATGAAAGTAACGAATAAATGGAGGGTTTTCATGAAAAAGCAAATAAAACGTGCAAGAACGTTTTTTGACCAAGCGGAAGAAGGCGTTACACAGCTGAGTTCAGCTAGCAGATGGCCGGTAAGCTTTTTAAACCTTAATGTATCCAAATCCAAAAACAACACCAAACACTTTTACTTGTGATGTAAAACAGTCTATTAGGATATTTAGACATTTTTGGCGTCCTATAAACCCGATTTTGTTGTAGTGAAAACCAAGGCTCTTTTTCATATGTATGCTTACTTTTTCGTTGCTGCAAATGTTGTTCGACCTGAAATCATGATCTTGTGACCTCGTTCGTTGCTAGGTTTGGGCATCGTTGTTGTTGTATCGGCAAATACTGGATGAGATCGAAGCTAACGACTATAATAACTTCACGAGAAGAGCGTATGTGAGCAAACCGAAGAAGATAGTTGCTTTGCCTGTGGCTTATGCAAAATCTCTTGTTTCCCCATCATCAAGAAAGTTGGAAGTCACCACAGGGTAAAACTGCAATTTATTCTTTATATATATAGTTGTAGAAAATGAGAATGGTCAATATGTGTATATCACAACATGTTGTAATGCATCACAAATTTTAATCAGATATAGAATAGCAATATTTGTTCCAGCCGAAACGGATAATGGGTTTGTTTGGTTCTGGTTGTTGTGCCATAAACAAATACTGGGTTTGTTTGCGTTGATTTGTTCTGGCAGAAACAATTCAACGATTGTGGGAGAAGTTAAAAGATATAAAAGATACAGACACGTTAATGGAACGGGATTTTGTCAAGTCTTGTTTAATCGTACCATGTATGTGGTAAATACGAGATAATAAAAATAGGTGGAACGAATCCCTGAACAATTCTTAAAACTTGGACTAAAATCGATGTTGACAAAACTACCTGATAGTTGTATGCTTAAAAGGCAATCATTAGATGATTGAGGATTAGCGTAATAATTATTCATTTGTATGGTATGTGTATACAATTAATTAGTTAGAGGGGTTTAATCAACTGAGAGCTCCATATATTATGATAGATGTGATAACTTCTATCTAATGAATTGTTTCACATGATTTTTTTCTCATCTAAGGCTAGCATAATGAACATATATTTGTTTCACAATGTGTTTGTTTCATATGTATGTGATTCACATGTGAAACTTTTTTACGTGTAACTTTTGTTTCACAAACATGCTAAAAATATCTACATTGTGAAACAAGTACATATGAAAAAAAAAAGATTGTGAAACAAATGTATTGTTTAATCGATATTCTAAATCTTAGTCTTCGATGAAAAAAATCATATAAAATAACACATGAAATATTAATTCTCAAGGTTATCACAATTTTCATGGGTTTTAAAAAAAAATTAGTTAAAAATCCAAAAAAGGGGTTCAAAAGGAGAAATGCACCCGATACGAAAATCCACGACAAGTTTAAGATTAGAGATGGCTAAAAATTGGTTCTGAATAGAGTCAGACCAATTCCAAATCGGTCTCCTTAAAATCTGGTTGGCTAATTCTGGTCCCAACCAAAAAAATTAGGATTGATTATAATCCCGATAACCAGTGTAGGTCCCATCAGGCCTATCCCAAATCCGGTCCCAAACTTGATCCGTAATATTTTTTCTGGAAAAGTTCTTTTTAGACAAAAATGTTATTAATGTTTTTTTATTAAGATTTCTAAAATTTAGTATTGTAATACAATTTAAATAATACATGTACTTCAAAAAATCTTGAAAAACTTGAAAGTATTGAAAATTAACTTGAAACCTCAGTTCCAATGAGTCCCGAGTCAAACTAGACCCAATTTAGCATTAAGGTTATGAAATCCTCTAAAGAGGTAATTTTTGTTCTTTTTGGGCTGTTTACTAAACTTTTATCTTAGTAAGAGCTTGCTCGTTCAATTACTTTTTTGGGTGAAGATAATAATGATTGAGAATATTATCCGGTAAGAGGGAATATAAGGATCAAAAGTCTTACTCGGTAAATGAAGGTGATGACTTTTACCAGGTTATAAACGCTTACCATTAATCCATTTTGATGATTGAGAATGTTACTCATAAGGTAAATGTAACACCAAAGATCACATTTGCATATAAACATATATTTCCATATATCGAGAAATATAATTTACACATTTTGTCCCAATATCTACAAAAGCTACATTACAAAGTAGCTAACAACTTTTTCCACATCATCTCTATATAAAACTTGTACACATAACAAGTATTCCAAAAAATAATAGATAACATGTTATCCTTAATATTTCATGCAAACAAATACAATTCTTCGCAGTTTCCCCTTACCCTTGTCCCCTGGTTGAATCCGACCTGTAATGGACATTTTTCCAAAACACCAAAAATGAGAGTTAGACCTTAAGGTCTAGTGAGAAATCCCTTTGATGCTATTACAAGGTGAATAATCACGAAAACACATTTATAAACTTATATTTGTATTAATCACAAATATTCAACTTTTTAATATAACAATCCACTTTTGTCGCATAAAATGATGAGACATAAAAACAATTTATCGCATCAAATAGCCCCAATAATTCATTTAACACATTATGTTGAAACTCATGGCATCATATAGGTGAATACATTAATTTTTCGCATCATATGGGTGAACCCCATTTCCTCGCAACACACTGGTGCGAAGTCATCATTTCATCGCATCACATGAGTGCGATAAATCAATCTTGTCGCATCACAGTGGTGCGACAAACATACTTCTCGCATCACATAGGTGTGATATTCATCACATCACATAGGTGTGATATTCATCATATCAATAGAAAGTGATAACTTTAAGTCATCGCATACAACTCCAAGTCATCGCATCATAAGGATGCGATAACAAAGAACACTTTAATCAAAAACCCATATTTTATATCTCAATGATTATGCCACCCTTATCCTGGTATACACCTCTCCTTGATATACCATCTTTATCCCAGTATACACCTCTCCTTGATATGTCACCCTTATAACCAAAATACACCCCTCCTTGATATGCCACCCTTGTTCCATTCACAATATATACATATCAAAATCCCACAATTATGCTGATTATAGCATTCAATTTTTTTTAATAATCATCTCCCCATATAAAAAATTACCAAAAAAGGAAAGTTTGTAAATAACTCACCTTAATCAGAAATAGATGAACAACAACATTTATCCAAATAATTTCACCGAATTAGCTTCTTTCTTTTCTCCTTACGGTTTCTGCTTGATCGCACCAAAGACCACACACCGTAAACTTTCCTTTTACTTCTCTTCTATTATATGCATCATCCCAATGAGATAAAAATTATCTCATAACTAACAATTTAGATATAAGAGGCGGTGGAATTTTAAAAAAGCAATTAAGCATATCAACAATGTATCCCTCTCAACTTACCCCCACTTACCAAAATCAACCTCGAGCTTTATAACCGAATAACCGGTTATCACAATAAATAAAAGTGGTGACTATTGCTGATAAGCATTTACCATGTAAGAGTTTGATAAATGGCCTCTTAGGGGTTGTTTACCAAACGCTTACCCAGGTAAGGCCTTACCAAGTCAAATTAACTTGCCGGATGAATATGGCAAATACCAAGATTCTTACCCGGTAAGAGCAAAGACGAGGACCGAGAGTCTTACCTAATAAGTATGGATAATGACTCTTACCACAATTAGCACTTATCGGGTAATTGTAACATACAATACTTTTTTGGTGGACTAAAATCTTACCCGGTAAGTAAGGGATAGTTTTGAATTTTGCGAGTAGACACTTATCCGGGTAAGCATTTGGTAAAAAACAATCCCTTAGTTTTTTATTCGATGTAACGATAATTTTTTTTTCTTAATTAAAGTAATAAATGTTTAACTTCTAAGTGAATTATTGATTTGGTCCTCTGGTTTACACATTCTACCCACAGTGGTCCCATATCAAAATAAATACAAAGACGGTACCCCTGGTACGAATTTTCGCGCCTATTAAGTTCCTCCCTCTAACAAAATCAAAAGGGTTCCGTTAACCCGATTAAGTTCGAGGGTATTTTAATCATTTTACTTACATTTCATTTTTTAATTAAAAAATAAAGAATATCTTATATATCTATATATTACAAGGACCAAGAATGTAATTTTATATATACACACACACAACCACGTTCTCCATTCAAGGCCAAACTCCGACCAAACTCTCCCTTGATGAAAAAAAGTGATGATGATGAACAGATGAAGGATTCAACTGTGATAAAGCGACTTCTCTGCCACTCCTTTAAGCAAACCCCTCTCCAAATCCCTAAACCTTGAGCCACTCCTTCAACACAAGTCCGTTGAAACATCGAGGCCCTATGTAAAGAAAATATATAATTTGGTGGTCGCAAGTTAGTTGGTTTTCTATGTTGAAGACGATTAATAACAAAACAAGGGAAGGAGAACCAGATCCATGATGTTTCATGACTTTGTATCTAAAACGGTGGTATGGTGGGTCTCGTCCTTAGATGGATCATGATTCTAGTCAAAGTAAGTCGCAGGCGATGATATGGTGGCTGGAGGAAGTTGCAGGTGGAGGTGGGGTGGTGAAAGGAAGTCGCAGGTGGTGGTGGGGTGGCAGGAGAAAGTCGCAGGTGCTAGTGGGGTGGCGGGAGAAATTCGCAGGTGGGGTAGCCGAAGGAAGCAGCACACTACACCAAATGTTGTCTTAGACAACAAATGTAAATTGCCTATGTTGCTTAAGATACGCTAAGACAACAAAATCTATTATATGTTGCCTAAGTTTCTTCTTAGGCAAAGTATGGTTCTATGTTGCCTAAGTGTGACCTTAGGCAACATATACATGATTCTATGTTGCCTGCATGTATCTTTGGCAACATATTAGCCTAGTTGCCTTAGTTTAATGTTGGTCACTCATATTTTTCTTTGAAATCCGTCAAAGTTTACTTAGGCAACATATATTCTAGTTTCTATGTTGCTGATATGTGTTGAGAATTTAACACATAACGTGCTCTTTTTGCGTCGTTTTAGTTATTTTAATTTCTTTTCATTCCCACTTTGAGTCCTTTTCATTCATTTCTTTATATTTTTGTTATTATGAAGCTAAATGTTGTGGTTGACTTGATGGTATATGTAAATGATGCTAATTGGGAGTTTTTTGTGAAAACAGCAAATGCTACAGCATTGGTACAGCGTTGACCTGAGTCTTACACGACTTTTTGGAGGGCTTAATGAACAAGACGCTGACTTTTTGAAGATGGAAGACAACTGGAAATTGCTGGATTTTTAGTGGAAAAATCAGATTTACTCTTTAGTTAAGCTTATGCACTTTTTAGTTAGACTTTGGTTGTGGGTTGTACTTGATAGTTAAACTTTTGTTGTATTGTAACTAGTGTTGGTAAACTTAGCCTCCAAGCTTAGTTATTTTGTCTTTTTGTGCCCATTTTGGGTATAAATAGGAGGCTAGGGTTACCTTCTAAGATATACTTTAATCCATCATCCTTTGGATTCTCTCTAATCTTTCATCTCTTTTCTTTCTCCCAACTTTTCTTTCTTTTCTTTTAAACCCTCTCCTAGGGTGTTCTTCAAGTTCTTTAAGATTTCAAGTTCATCTTCATCTTTTTCTTTATTTTACTTTCTTGTCTTT